GAAGTTGAATTTTTCGAATTGGATGAAAATTTGCCAAATTACGGTATTTTCAATTTGTTGAACCATTTTTGGCATGAAAAATGAAACTACAGTAACTTTGCCAATTTTCATCCAATTCGAAAATTTTGAATTGTATTGCATTTGACACGTTGTGAGCTTCAAAATGAGCCTAAACACGACTAGGCGCCGCCGACTTTCGTTTTGGCGACCAACTGGGCGCGGGGCTTAAAATTGAAACTACTGTAACTCGGTCAATTTAGAATTTATGCGGAATATTCAAATTGGATCGCATTTGACACGTTTTGAGCTTCAAAATGAGTATAAACACGACTAAACTCCGCCCATTTTGATTTTTGGACCCCATAACGGGGGTTACTGTAGCTCCAAAAGTCCGCAAACACCGAATGAAGCCTAAAGCTTTAGTTTTCGAGTTTCTAGACCAAAACATCGCTTTTAAGCTTGTTCGAGTAGTTGAAATCGCATATAAACCGAAATTTCCCAGGTTACGGTAGTTCTAAAAGTCCAGGGGCGGGGCCGAATTTTCTAGTGTTTTTTTTTCTGGATTTTCGCAATAAAATTGCTCATTTTCCAGTGAAAAACGTGGCCGCAGAGCCAGCGGAGAAGATTTGTCAATCGGTAGTGTCGAAACTCGAAGGAAAAGTGGTCAACAACTTCTCGCGGACCGCCCAAGAGGTTCGGACCGCCGTCCGCGAGTCCCTCGTTCAGCTGCTCACCCCAAAACACCGAGTGGATATCCTCCGTGACGTCATCGAGGCGAAGAAAGAGGGTCGTCCGTATGTAATAGTGTTCTGTGGAGTGAATGGCGTGGGAAAATCGACGAATCTCGCGAAAATCACATTTTGGCTGACGGAAAACAAGCACCGAGTACTGATTGCCGCAGGTGATACGTTCCGTGCGGGAGCTGTGGAGCAGTTGCGCACCCATACTCGCCATCTGAACGCCCTGCATCCCCAGTCGGTGCACCTGTATGAGCAGGGATACGGTAAGGATGCGGCTGGACTCGCGGCCGCTGCGATCAAGATTGCCGCGGAGAGAGACTTTGATGTGGTGTTGGTGGATACGGCTGGAAGGATGCAGGATAATGAGCCGTTGATGAGAGAGCTCGCGAAGGTTGGTTTTGGCAAGCTAAGAGCTTCGAAATGAGTATAAATATGCTGAAAAACGACTGAGAATAGTCTAGGAAACCAAATCTACATACCAAAACTTAGAAATCCGAATTCAGCGCGTTTAGAGCTTCAAAATGAGCCCCAAAACGACTAGGCTCCGCCCATTTTTGATTTTTGGACCCCTAAACGGGGTTACTGAGCTC